GAGAACAATTACCTCCTTATGATTGATTTAAATTTGTTTCAAGTATTTTGTAATAATATTTAATCAGCAATTTAGATAATTTGGTTTTTGCCGGTTTTTACCAGTTTTTGCCGGTTTTTACCAGGTTTTTGCCACTGTCCTGGCAAAAACCCCTTTTTGCCGGCAAAAACTCCAACCCTGGTTTATAATGTTCATGAATGTTTTGCTGCAACTATAAGAAGCATTTGCTTTATTATCTAACCAAAATCTACTAACTTGGGTGACACCCTCGGTTTTTATACTATTTGTGTTTAAAAATCATACTTAATGTCGCTTATTACTGATCAACGCCAATAAAAGTCCTTTAAATCCATGCTTGAGTCATGAACTACAAGTTCAAATATTAAAAGTTTTTTTTTTTACCTGGAATTGTCAAAATTAAAAACTTCCTCAAACGGATGCTTCGCTCAAAAAATCTAGAACTGAGGATTTTTGGTTAATGATGATTCTTTAATAACACAAACAATAAATTAGGTAAGAAATTTGTGTATTCAAGAAATACTACTCAAGAGAGTCTCAAAAGCCAAATGATGACATTATGAGCAAAATTGTTTCAAAATACACAAGAAACAGTAACTCTAACAGTGAAGAGTTTGCAGTGCACCTTAGTGTAAAAAACATTATCCATTTTTAACTTGCCAGAATTACTATTTAATACTTGATTAAAGCTGTTTTAAAATTCAATTTTTTATTTAAACATATCTTGAATATTTATAATATGTTTTAATCATCTCACCAGTACACTGATTAGCTAGTTTATTAATGTGACATGTTCCTTATACTCTGAGATCTGCTCATTTCCTGATTCTTTTTATGTCTGATTGCACTATCGAAGTGCAGATGCGCCACAATTGGAGATAGTCTTAAACTAGACTAGAGTGTTGGGAATGAAATATGTTTCTATCATAGTCTATAAGAATTATTTCAGATTCCCCAAAAATGTTAGACACTTCTTTAGAATAATAATTTTCCATTAGTTTATTTTCTAACATTGTTAGTTCAATCTAACGCTATTAGTTTATTATTTAAAAAAAGGCACATTGGTGAAATCGGTTTATTCATAATTTCCCTATTTATGCATTGCCCTTGTTCTTCCTTGTACTTTTTTTTCTTTATTCACTGGCTATATCATTTTTCCTCATTCATGTGAACCTTTATTATTATTCTTATAAAAGAATTGGTTTTAACAATATCTTAAAAATATCCACTTGCAAAAATAAACGGAAAATCTAAAAATCTCTTCTTTTTATTATTATGGAAGTTGTAATTGTATAAAAAGACTTCATGTTTTACTCATGTAAAAGTTAATATTCTCTCTCATCAGTTTAATCAGAGTTTTTGAACAGGGGTCTGCCTTGGCCAAATTTATTACCGTTTAGCGGTACCTTCACATATTCAACTTTAGGAAAAATGGTAGTTTCACAAAATACTTATTCTAAAAATTTCATTTTTGTATCCCATAAGAAACGATAAATCATTATTTTTACCATATTTTTATGTTGATTTTTTAATATAATTTTCACAAATTATGTCTACATTTTCGCAAAATAGGTACTTCTCAGAAAAACCTACAGACCCCTGATGAATCTTTATCATATTAAATGGAGGCTTAGAATCTGGGAGTTTTTAGCTGTTTTATTCTTTAATGTATGTAGAAAAGTCTTGATAAAATTAAATTTATTATTTAATGAGGAAGTATTTTAAATTTTAATGTTACACTTATGAATTTTATACTGTGGCTTATCTTTAAATCTTGTGAGTATAATTAAAAAAACTAGAAGTTGAATATAGTTATTTTATTTAATCTTCTTTCAAAAGAAAACTATATTGATTATCTTTATAACATAATATGCTTAAACTTTATTGAAAAGATATTTATTTAAATCATAAATTAAGTCCGTAGAGTTCAAAGAGTTCGTAGAGTTCCTTAGAATTTTTTCAGTTGTTTGTCAAATCCATCCTCCATATTTGATTTTATTTGGTAAGTAAATTGAAGAGAGGAAAAGGGAATCAAGTTTACTGAGTCCTTCGATTTCTGCCTTTACTGATTGTTCCAACATCATCTGAATCTGAGAATAAATTGGTTAAAAAAAATTTAAAATTTCATTATTATCCAAGTGAAACAAGAAGATTATAACTTATGATAAATAATCGAAATTTATAAAAATACCAATATTTTTTTTCTAGCAATTTTTTTGTGTGTGTGTTTTTAATTATTCCTATATTATTGTCAGAAACATTCTTTTACAAAGAGCAAAATTAACTAATTTCAAGTAATTACCTGTTTCTGCCATTGAATGTTGTTTTGTATATAGGGTCTTGACAGTAAGGCCATTGCTTTTTTCGTATCATTTTCTGTCAATGGTGTTACCGCTGCAGTTGGAAATTTTAACCTAAAATGAAATTTTTGAACTTAAAAAAAGAAGCCCTGGGAATTATTTATGATTAAGCTTTTTCGACCATCTTGATAAGGCCTTTGAAAAATATTAGTTTGGTTCTAAAGGAGAATTAAGTCTTGATACATGACTAAGTTGAGGTTTTTGACTAAAATAATAAGAAATGTAAAATTAGAACTGTGATAGTGTTTATACATATTTTAGAATAAAATGTATTTTTATTAAAATAGTCAAAATGTTTTTCAAATGTTAAAATTATTGATTCATCAAATAAATGCGTATAAATTTGAAATAATAGACATATTGGTACTAAATTTATAAATAAATAAAATTGAACCTATAATTGTAATAAGTTTTGAAAGTCAGATTATCTTAAGTTTACAAATAGTGTCAATATGATGTTTTGAAACTAATCACTTAAAAAGCTCACAAACATTTTAAAGCATTTTTTTTTTTTTTTTAGTTTATTATTGGCAATTGCAGGGCTGATTGTGCTCTGGAAAAAATCCGGATTTTTCACTAACAGGGATCCGGAAGTTTCCGGAGATCAAAGGACCAGACGTTAAAAGAAAATCATTGATCACAGAAGTTTCCGAAAATCAAATTTTCAAAGGTGGAACTTAAAAACACAGTTTATTTTATTTGTTTGTGAGGGAGAGCCAGATACTTTATATGCTTATATTCGTGATTAATATTCATTTTTTATCAGTAAATAGTTATTATAATCATAAACTCAAGAAAGGAAGACATATTTGTAAATTTTAATTATTTCTCCAGCTCATCATAGGTATGTGTATTTGTTATAGGTATATGTATTTTAAATATATTTTAAGTAAACTAAGAAATATTGAGAAAAAGGAAAAAAACCTTGTTTAAATTTTTTTCTAATTTTACAATTTAAACTTTTTTTTTTTAACTCTCGAAATTTTCCGGAATTTTGACTTGGGCTCGCAACCACCCATGTAATTGTTTCCTGAAATTTGCAATAGATACTTAGTATGCATATAGGTATTGTGGTACTAATTTTTTACGTCCTGCTGAAGAGGCAATAGTACCAAAATGTATATGTAAATCTCTGGTGTTCACAAAGTGTATGTTTCATATTTTTTATTTTAAGATATAGTAACCATCATATTGAAGACTAAAATGCTTCAACATCTGATGAGCAAGCTAGGATTGTGGAACAGTTCCATGGGTTGGCATTCATAGCAGACAGGAGATTGATATCCTGGTATTACATAAAACTTCAGTGGTTATGTTATGTATATTGATACCGAGTTAATAACCTTTTCATTTTTGTGTCGATAACAAAGAACTTAAACATCCATCGAGTGAGAAGTCCAAGCAAACCTGCTTAAACATACATGTGTACATATTTCTCAACGACAATTCTTATCACGGTTGGCAACAAAGAGCTGAAAGAAATTGAGTTATAAGTCGGGCAGAAATGAAAGTTAGAAGTAAACAGTTTATAAAACCATACCAAAGGAGGTATATATTTGTTTTAATTCAGGAAAGTTTAATAACAATTTTGAGCTGTATTTTGTTTTAATATTGATTCATATGGCGTAACTATTGCGAGGCAAGCCCGAATTGCGAAGTAATCTTAAAAAGAAACTCGAAAACAGGGTTTTAGCGAGCTCAGCTCGCTAGTGGTGGAGCCTCGAAACAGTCTTAACATTAAGTTATTTAGTGTAAATTTTTTTAAAAAAAATTCTTAACATTGTAGTTGAATGTTTATCAATTAAGAACTACAAGAAACTAATTCAATTGCTGAGAGACATTAAATTGAATCGAAAACAAGAAGAGAATTAGATTTGCAATAAAGTTTTCTTTTTAAATGTAGTATTTTGAGAAAAATATGGGCATATACATTTGCAGATCATTATATTGTAAGTTCACATAAAATACAAGAGCAATTATAATATAAAATTTTTTAAACCACCTTTATCAAGTTGTTTTGGAAGCCAAAGAGGGGGATTTCTGGCAGTAATTGAAGTTTATTAAGAAATTTTTATTTTATGTTATTATATTTTATGTACTTTTTATTTATGTTATAAAGTGTTTGAAATTTCAAGTGGCTATAAGTTTCGCCATTTGAAAAGCAATTGTAATTTATAGTAACATCAGGCTCAGGTTGAAATTTTAACACTCTAGCTAGTCAGACATTGGTAATAAAACCTTGACTTAAATTTTTCTAGTTGAAAATTATTTAAACTCTTATCTCAGTTCGGAAAGGAGCTTTAGCTTTGAGTAATCTAGCTAGTCAGAGAGTGGTCAAAATTTTCTTTGCAATATTTTTAACTCATAGACACGAAAGCAAGATAATAAAAACGTAATATATATGCATATTATGTCACCTTTGGATATCAGTCTGTAGTAGCCCTAACCATCGAATCTCCGGTACTGCTAACTTTTCTACATCAAATGACATTGCCTGTAAATTACAAGTTAAAACCAATTATTACAATCATATCAAAAGTTAGGAATAATTTTAAAAATGAAAATTCCTTTCGGCTTTTAAAATAAGCACCATTGAAAGCATTAATTATGATTTTAATAAATTAAATAAATTTACACAGACCTTGTGCTCCAAAATATTCTATTTTTCAATTTAAGTTTTTTTGTTGTTGATTAAAACAGATTAAAAATGAAAATATTTGAAGGTTTGTTGAAAGCAAGGAAATGTTGCCCCTCATATTTTGCGTTAAAAAAAACTATAAAAAATATTTAAGCATTTGCTAGATCAAAATATTTTTTTAGCACTTTCTTTAATTTTTTATTTCAATTTACATATATTACATTACAACAGTATTTTCACTTAAATATCTATTTTTTAGGTTACGATTTTATTAATGAATGTTGCTGGTTCCTCCCCTTTTTTACCCTAAAATATATGTTTCTAAATATATTAGAGAAATGAGGAAAACGAAGATTTGATCAAATCAATAAGGGAGATGACCAATTCTTGGAAGATGTTAAAATAACTCGGTGGGGTCATTTCCGTAAAGAAAGTAAGTGATTTGATCAAATCCCTAAACTGTATAATATTAGCATATAATTACAGTTATTTAAAGTTTTGGAAAATTGTAATTAAATTAAAATTCTATTAAAAATAAAATGTAAAAATAAGCTGCTCAATATTCTAAATATAAATGCATCGAAATATACACGTCTAAACATATATGTATTAAAAAAGTGTTAAATCCTAATATGTCCATAAAATACTTGAATAATTTTATTCTTACCATTGATCCAAATTTATAGACGCACAAAATTTCAATCCCTGAAAATTATTCCCAATTTAGCTTAATAATGATAACAATAACGATTGTTTTAAAAGTTTAAATACAAACTTTACCATAAGGGTCTGCATCTACTAAACCTAAAATAGGAATTTGTAATACATCCCACAGTTTGCGCAACATTTCTCTGGTGTTCACATCAGGAAATCCCTTTCCCTAAATTGAATGAAGAATTAAAATCAAGATAAAATTATAAACTCTTAAAATACTAATGCAAAAAATTTTTTATTATTAGAAATTTTTAAATAATAGATTAGGAAAACTCGGTAGTTTAATTGGTTGTATTAATTAGAGTAATATGACAATACCAGTTGAAATTATAAGTACGAATGCAATAAAGTTTTATTATTAAACTTTACTTCTATCATTAAAATTTATACGAGGTATATCCACAAAGTAAGTTCCGTTTCCATTTCTATCCGCGGCAGCGCTGCGATCGCAGTTCCGAGCATGCGCGCTAGTTACTCTGACTCAAGCAGAAGAATTGTGCGCCATTTTCAGATCCCTGCTGCCGATGTGTTCTTTGTAGTGCTTCTTTATGATGTCAGCCTTAATTGAAAATGCAGCCGCTTGTGAAATCAGATCTGTGATTCGTTTTCTAAATGCAAAGAAAGTTAAACCATGTGAAATTCATCGGCAAATCTGCGAGGTTTACGGACAAGCTGCTATGAGTGATTCAATGGTTAGAAGATGGGTCAGACA